TAGTAGTAGTACGTAGTACGTACGTACGTACGTACGTAGTAGTAGTAGTAGTACGTAGTAGTAGTAGTAGTAGTAGTAGTAGGTAGTAGTAGAGTAGTAGTAGTAGTAGTAGTAGTAGTAGTAGTAGTAGTAGTAGTAGTAGTGTAGTAGTAGTAGAGAGAGAGAGAGAGAGAGAGAGAGAGAGAGAGAGAGAGAGAGAGAGAGAGGTGGAAGGTGATGAAACTAGGGCTCATGTTTGACTGGTAAAGGAGTTCTCTCCTTTATTGGAACTGATATTGAAAAGTTCAATCCAGGATAACGAGGGCCAAACTGCATTGCACTATGCAGCCGTGTGCGATAGAGAATTGATCGCGAAGCTCCTCATAGAGCACGGAGCTGATGGGTCTGTGAAAGACAATGATGGAAATACCCCCCGCGACGTCTGCACGGGTCGGACTTGGACTTGGATCTGAGTTTCAGCTTCTTTCTTTTTACCTTTTCCTTTTGTGTAATCTGGAATTTGAAGCTTGGACCGCAGTGATAAGGCTCTTAAGCCCTGACCACTAAGCCAAGAAGAGGGGCCCTCTTTTACCCTTTTTTGAAGGTCCATTTGCCCCATCTCATGTTGGCATTTGTAAATATATATTCTGATTTTTTTTTTTTATCCATACTTATGGTACACAATTCTTACTTTCTTATTAAGATGCAGTCTAGCATTAATTCCATAGGAAATCACCTCTGCCAAGATACTTTTACCCTTGGCCGACTCAAGTAACTTGGCTGTGTCTGAGTGGACTCGAGCCGAGTTACATGCACCTATGTAAGTTGTAGAAAAGTAAAGAATAAGTAAAAAATTTCTAAAAAGTAGACGATAGTCAGAAATTTTTTAAGAGGGTTACTAGAACTTTTTAGAAGACTAAAGAAGAAAAAAAAATCTATTTAAAATACACGGGAATTGGCTTGACTGGTTAGCAGTTGACATTATGTGGTTAACGCTGAAATTTTTTTTTAAAAGAAATATATTGAAAATGCACTTTGAATATTTGATATATACCTAGAATATTTTAGAAAATTTTAAAAATAAGGGGAGCAAAAAAGTTTCCATCTAAAAAATATTTCTAACCAATATATTAGTGATGGGTGCGGTTTTTGTAAGGATGCAACTTTAAACAATCCAATCAAGGCGCACCTTAAATTTTTATCATAACATATAATTTTGTTATAAAAAAAATTCTTAGTAGTATCTTAAAATCTATTTTCATACCTAGTTGGAAAATTTAAAATTCTAAAAATGGTTAAAATCAAGTAGATCTATAAATCTATGAAAATTTTGAAAATGGTAATGTGTAGCAAGATGTACTATTTTTTATACTCAAATTATTTTTTTTCATATCCATGCATCTCAAGGTTGAGATGATCGATTAGAAGGTTTTTTTAACATTAAAACAACATTTTCGATAGATTTTTGAGGTGCATCTGTGATTATACATTTTAAAGTTGCAACTTTATATAAACTTTTTTCTCATTGATTTCTAAATTTTTTTTGTACTTTTGAACTTTTTTTTGTTTTCAGGAGGTTTTTGGTGCTTGGTAAGTTAGCACCCAACTTGCCACTAGAGCAAGGCCAAATTATTCCAGCGAGTCTGACTGGACTCGCTGCCACTAGAGCAAGGCCAAATTATTCCACCGAGTCCTACTGGACTCGCTGCCACTAGAGCAAGTCCAAGTTACTCTGTTGAGTCTGATTGGACTCGGTTAAAAGATGCGCTTAAAAGATGAACTATTTAATTTTTTACTTATTTTATTTAATTAAAATGCGCACAATCATGAGATAGAATAGGTGAAAATTGGAGAAATACCAATAGTTGATTAGTGTAAAATAAAATAAAATCTTAGCATATTCTAGGTGGCATTATTTTGTAGATGTTTGGCACATATCTTATATTATGTATAAAATTAACTGGTGATCGTTTAAGTGATTTTCAAGTATTTTTAGCTATCTCTGACTAAGGATAAGTGATGTTCATTAAATTACTTTAAATAAAATAAAAATAGCCTTTTACAAAGATAAATTTGTAAGTAAAACCACCTATGAGTTCATTTAAATAACTTTATGATGGAAACAACCAAACAATAGATAACTCGTTATCAAGTTTTATTTTATTGAAACGGTGAACCGTCTTTGATAACAACTACATTCAAACAAGCACTAAAAAAAATAGAAGACCTTAGAAATCTGTCCTTCATACAAACAACCCATCCAAGAGACATTTACCAGGCGATTCTGGCATATGGGTTGGCTGCAAATTGCCTCACGATTCTGGAAAGGTCAAAGGGAACAAGTATCTACTTCAGTGTTCTCTCTCTAGGATTATTTCAGGTAGTTCAGCAGTAAGAATCGAACTAAAAATGCACGTATTAACGCCTATAGCTAACCAATTAAGCCCTAGCCCGATGCATAAAACAATTGTTCTTTGGAGACAAACCCCTCAATTGCACTGGACATCTTTTTTAAAGATCGTTAATAATCTGATGTTGATTTGATTTGATTGGTTAAGATTGTTAATAATCTGATGTTGATTTGATTTGATTGGTTGGCTGACTAATTGAGTAGAGCATTCTTAAATGGCCCTCTTAGCTCCAATGACAAAGGTTAAGCAAAAGCAAAGAATATGCCAACCCTTACTATACAAACAGTTGCTCCGAAATAGGGATGGCAACGAGCCGGGGCATGATCGGGTCTAGCTCTGGCCGTGGTTGTGTCAGCATCACATTTTCTATCCCAGGCCGTAGTTTTTTAAGACCAGGCTGCCCAGGGTTTTAAAATTGCAGTGCCGGTAAAGAGACCGAACCTTGACACGCCAAACTTTTGACACCGGACCAATATGAAAGCAAATCCACTGTACCCAATCAAGGATCACGAAATAACCAAACAAGGGATCACGAAATATTGCCCGCACACACAGCACATCATTCCTGCAATTTGAGGAAAAAGCTCAGAGGAAAAACATATGATTTTCATGGAATCATGCAAGGACATTTGGTGGAAGATTATCAGCAAGTTATGCAGGAGTGGCTAAGTTTTTGTATAATGATACAGGCATTCGCTACATGTAACTTTGCACTCATAGATAACAAGAACTGAAGATATTGAGCCATATAACTTTGGATAGTAGTAGAGATTGTGAGTGAGACCTCTACACCTGCGAAAAATGCTGCTCCCATCTATGGATTAGTACCGAGCTCTTCACAAAACCAACTGCAGAGTCTCAATTTGGATCTACTATTTCCACTCTATCAATTGGATATGCCAGATTCTTCGGCCGAATTAGCTCATCATTTTAAAAAAGGTAGATTTGACATCAAGTAGAGTTTATTGAAGATATTGAGCTATATAACTTTGATTAGCTCTACATTTAAAAGATAGTACATTTGCCCTAAATACAGATTTCCATTGTAGTACAAAGGCTTGTTGGAAAAGCCAGAAAACCAAGAACAATACAAATCATGATGAGAAAGCAACTAGGAATATCTTATCCTCAAAAAGAAGCTAACAAGAAAAGAAAAATAGAATCCCTATCCCATTGCAGGAAAAAATCTTAAAAAAACAAAACAAAAAAATCCTCAAGTATTCTTACTAAAAAAGATTTTCACATCCCATATGAGTAAAAAATAACCTTCCCACTCTCACGTTGGAGAGAGATGGGAGCTCCAAAACCTGCATCAGAGAGAGAGGAGAGGGGGGGGGGGGAGGATCCAAAACCCCTTAATTGCATGAGAGCTCAAAAGATGAACAATCCTAGAAAGAGAGAGAGAGGAAGAGAGCGCTTAAAGCTCATAATGTGAAAAATAATCCTAGAGGGAGTATCTAGAGCTCATCATGTGAAGAATCCTCATCCTCCTCACCAGAACCACCAGCCCCACCTGACCTCTGATACACACTACTGATTACAGGATTGCACACTGCCTCCACCTCCTTCAGCTTCTCATCATAATCCTCCTTCTCAGCGCTCTGGTTCTCATCCATCCACTCCAAAGCCTCCTTTAGTGCAGCCTCAATCTGTTCTTTCTCCGAGGCCTCAATCTTTTCCCCCAACTTGTCCTTGTCCCCAATTGTGTTCTTCATGTTGTAGACATAAGTCTCAAGGGCATTTCGGGCATCGATCTTTTCCTTGACCTTCTTGTCCTCCTCTGCATATTTTTCGGCCTCTCTTATCATTTCATCGATCTCCGCTTGGGTTAGGCGCCCTTTGTCATTGGTTATTGTGATCTTCTCTGACTTTCCAGTGCCCTTGTCCTCAGCCTTCACATTTAGAATGCCATTTGCATCTACCTCGAATGTGACCTCGATTTGTGGCACTCCCCTGAGAGTACAAACATTGTAGCATATTTATTTGAAAGCTCTCTCTCTCTCTCTCACACACACATTTCTGTTCTTTCTCCCTCTCTCTCTCTTGTCCCCTCATCTCTCTCCCTCTCCCCCCTCGCTCTCTCTCTTTGTGATGAAAATATGGACTACAGCTCTGAACTGAGCAGAGCCCAAGCTAGAGTCAGCTGGCAAGGCCAAATCTGTAAAACCAAGGCAACCTTGGGACCAGGGGAGACCTGAACTAGGTCCTAAGATTTTTTAAAAGACCTGGCAACCTGCCAGGTCCAAAGGACTCACTGGAGTCTGAACCAGTGATGCAACCATTCCCCCCTCCCCCCCCCCCCCTTACTCTCTCTCTCTCCATGGGATGAAATTAAGAACATCAAGACAAACCTTGGAGCAGGAGGGATTCCTGATAGTTCGAATTTGCCGAGCTCCCTGCAGTCCTTTGTAAGACTCCTTTCACCCTCAAAGACCTACAACACAAGCCCAGCTAAATGAATCTCTAGGATGTTGCACCTTGAAGTGGGGATGAGAGAGCTCAATGAATCCCTAGGATGTTGCACCTTGAAGTGGGGATGAGAGAAAGAGAGAGATATACCTGGATAGAAACAGTGGTTTGCTGATCCTGATAAGTGGTGAACACCTGAGACTTCTTTGTGGGGATAACAGTGTTTCTCGGAATGAGCTTTGTCATCACTCCACCGACGGTTTCAATACCAAGAGTAAGAGGGGCCACATCCAACAAGAGAATGTCTGAACCAATATAACCAACAAAGATTCCATCAATTTCCAGACTGTAAACATAAACTTTATAGTGTGTTTTGGAAACACTTTAAAACAGCATTTTGGGGCTTAAGGCCTTGTCTTTCCAAGGTGTTCAAAACTCCAAAGTGGGAAGGCATGTAGGAGCCTCAAACACCTTCCCAACATGATGTAAAATGTCCTAAATAAGCGGAGTATGCATCATAATCTGAAAGGGGTCGTAACCACTTTTTTTGTAACTGTACAACCAGCTCTAAACAATGGTCACCTGCTCTGGTTATTGCTTGAAGGGATATATTTCCTAAGCCATTCCATTTGGAATGCTAGTCATTTTCAAAACTGCTCCTAAAATTCACATAACATGCATTTGATATCCATGTATATATCTTACTCAAAGCAACATAAAAACCATGAGTACAAAAAGAACAAAATGAATTACCTTTCGTTTCTTCTCCACCCTCTCCACTCAAAATGCTACCTTGAACAGCTGCACCAAAAGCTACAGCTTCATCTGGGTTGACCCCTTTGTTGGGCTCCTTGCCATCAAAGTAATCCTTCAGCAGCTGCTGAACTTTGGGGATTCTAGTGCTACCGCCCACCAAAACAATTTCCTCAATTTCGTTCTTCTCTAATCCTGCATCATCCATGGCCTTCTTAACAGGTCCCATTGTCTTTCTAAACAAGTCATTGTTGAGCTCCTCAAATCGAGCTCTAGTCAAGGGCTCTGAGAAGTCCAAGCCATCAAAGAGAGATTCAATTTCTACACGAACTTGGTGTTGGTTGCTTAGCGCTCTCTTTGCTCGCTCACATTCTCTCCTTAGTTTCCCGAGAGCCCTGTTGTCCTTGCTAATGTCCTTTCCATGCTTTTTCTTGATCAATTTGATGAAGTACTCCATTATTCGCTGATCAAAATCCTCACCTGAAGAAGGGAAAGAATAATGAGTCATTAATTGCTCATAAACTGGTACGTCTAGGTCTAAGGAATTTTCTGAGGAGTTTTCAAAATTTTTATGGTTTCTTTGAGTCTGAGAAATCATTGGGAAATTATAGGGAAAGGAAAACAAGTTGATGTGCCAGTATGGAAAAAAGTGGAGAAAGAAAATATTGAAGACGAGCATAAAATTGACATACGAAAGCAGCAGATGAGATATGAGATAAGAGCAGTGTTAGCAAAATCAAACCAGAACGGTTAACCCGATATGGGGTTGGGAACGGTTAAAACCGGAACCGGACTAACCGATCAAGTAGATTTTAAAAAAAAAAAAAAATAGAAAAACTTAGATTAAATGTATAATATCTTATTACATACATTTATCTTACAAAAGAAATAATTGAAACAACTTTTTATATAAATTCATATTTGAATACTATCGTCCTATACATGATCCCAAGCAGGTCACATAAATCTTTTTGTTTCCTAGAACGAAGTCGATAATAAGTTTACAACACCCTACCACAAATGTAGGCAGAAACATTACATTAGTCTATGCTTATTACTAAAAAATATAAGCACACATAGATGTTTACGCACTCCAGTTTCAAGTTTTAAAACACTTCAAAATACTGCTAATCATAATTAGAGACAATGGAAAAGAAATTGATCCACCAACTTTTACATGTCCATGCAGAATTTCATCTGTAAAAGATGAGATATAACAGGTAGAGAGGCCAACACACATAGGTTTTGTCATATTACTCAAAACAACATATTTTTATTAAAAAAAATTATTTTATTAAGAAAAATAGAAAAACACTTCTCATATTCATAAAAAATAATCATTTTATGAAGCAAAATATCTTTTTTTTTGAAAAATCGATTTCTCAAACACTCCTAAAATCGAGCAACATTTCAAGCAAGAAACGACTCTCAATGTTTGGATAATCGAACAAATCAACACACAAGCACGGTAAAGGCTTCGATCACCCTTTCAAATGCACCAAAAGTCATAAAAAAATATTTGGTATTCTTGATTTAATTGAAAAAATGTGGAAAATTCAGATTTGTGAAATCGAGCAAGAGAAAATTCAATATAAAATGAAGCCTTGATGATCAAAATACACAAATCAATTTGTTAAAAAACGACCAAAAATCGATCTAAAATCTGTTTTTTTGGATCGATCATAGGTTCTTCGAGCACATCTTTTCGGGCCAAAATCAACCCCCAATATTTTGTTTTCTGAACAAATTGAAAGAGGTATATCGTAAATGATTCTATTAGGATTAAAAGAATTTCAGCAAACAACATTGGCTATTGAAGATGGTATTGATGAAATGGCAGAAACTTCAAAAGGAGTGAAATTTCGCCATTTCAATCCACAAAATCTCTTGATTTTTTAATCTTTAATTCAAATTTGCTTGTTCCAAAGACAATAAATAGTGTTTTACAGCCATAAAGCCTGAAAAACACCAAAAAAAGGCAGGAAAAAAAAAATAGAAAAAATCGATATGTGAATTCCTGCATCAAATAACGGCTTCAATTGAAAATAACAGGCGTTATTTTAACTATACCGTTATTTATCTATAAAACCCGTTATATCCACTAACCGGTCCCGTTAGCTGCAAAACCGGCCAGTTTGACCAAAAACACGGCCAGTTCGACCCCTAACCGGACCGTTTTGGGCCTGAAATTTTATGGGGTTGTACCCTAGGCTAGGAGATCCCCAAAACCACCCCTAACCGGACTCGGAACCCTAGCGGTTTCGAGCTAACCGGCTGATTCCGGTTTTAACCGACCGATTTTTCTAACAATGGATAAGAGTAAAACTAGAAAAAAATAATTGTCAGTTAAGTTAAAAGCATTTGGAGACCAGAGATCTATCCTTACCTCCAAGGTGGGTGTCACCATTTGTGGCCAGAACTTCAAAAACACCATTATCAATGGTCAAGATACTGACATCGAATGTGCCACCACCAAGGTCAAACACAAGGATGTTCTTCTCTCCACCCTTTTTATCCATACCATAGGCAATGGCTGCAGCAGTTGGCTCATTAATTATACGAGCTACATTTAGCCCGGCTATCACACCAGCGTCTTTTGTTGCTTGCCTTTGAGCATCATTGAAATAGGCTGAACACACAAGAAAAGAGTGAAAACTAAGACCAGTGCAACAACTTTTGAGAGAGAGAGAGAGAGAATCATTGATCATGAAAATAGTTACCTGGTACAGTAACAACGGCGTCCTTAATGTCCTTTCCCAAGAAAGATTCAGCGGTCTCTTTCATCTTGATCAGTACCATAGCACTGATCTCCTCAGGGCTAAACACCTTTGTATCCCCATCCTTCATCTTGACTTGAACGTATGGCTTTCCATCCTTGTTAACAATTTTGTAGGGGACAAGCTTCATGTCCCTTTGTACCTCCTTATCTTCAAACCTGCCTCAAAAGAAGTACAAGTTGCTAGTACAAGTTGCTAAAGGGAGGACCTTTCAGAGAAAGAGGTCTTAACTTCCTTTTTTTTCCCTTATTTATTTATTTTTAATTGGGAGGTAAGTTAGGTTTAATCCCCTCAAAACAACAATTGGGTCCAAACCTGAACAAATTTGACTCGAAATTATTATAAAGTTGAACTCACTTTCTTCCTATCAGCCTTTTGACATCAAAGATAGTTCTTTCTGCGTTGACAGCGGCCTGATTCTTTGCAGCCTCACCAATCAATCTCTCAGTGTCAGTAAATGCCACCCAAGATGGGGTGATCCGATTTCCTTGATCATTGGCTATGATTTCCACATGACCACTCTTATAGACACCAACACATGAGTAAGTAGTTCCAAGATCAATTCCAATGACCGTTCCCAACTTGGTAGCTTCCTCTTTTGCGACAACAAAAGCAAAAAGACATCCTGTAAACGAAAAACTTTGATGAATGCAAACAGCTTTATTAAAAGAGCGCAACATAAATATCATTTGTATGGTACAACTTGGAATGGGCTCAATTAAAAGTAAAAAGCCATTTAAAGATAGAAAAGAAATCCAAATTTGCAGGTTGTCCTTGGAATGAGATAATTAGAAGAAAACAACAAAGAATATATAAAGACGTGGGGCTGATTAAAACCAATTTATTTACAAGTTTATTCACTATTAGAGTTTGATCATTATGCTAAATTCATAAACAACAATTGATACCAAATCAGGTCTTTGTAAAAGATTTGTTTATGAGATTACAAATTTTCTCAACTGCAATATAGACATGACTCTTTGTTGGGTAATTTTCATTGCATTTTTTGTTTCACATCCTTTTCTTTTTCCTTTTCCTCATTTGTGGAGATTTTTTCAGTAGTCTTTCCTCACCTTTGTTGGATTCTTCCCTTTTTTTATTGCTCTTTCCATGGTTTCCTTGCATTCTTTGTAATATTGTATATACTTTGCAGGGGCATCTTCATGGGATTTTTACACACTGATTTTGCCTCTAATAGCTGAAGTTGTCAAATTTAGTTAATATCTAAATTGCTATCATAATATCTTATATTCAGGAGTCAGGATATCAGTTACTTATCGTCATCATCATAGCCTTTTCCCAACTATTTGGGATTGGCTATATGAATCCTGATCCGTAGTGCTACTCTATCGAGGACCATACCCACATAAGTGAGACCATAAATCCCCATATCTATTCTCACTGCTTCCAACCATGTCCTTTTGGGCCTATCGCTTATTTTTTTTTAATCTTACACTTGAACCAACTCATACCTCATAATGAGACTGCACTGCATGTGGCCAGCCCATATGAGTCTACTTTCTCTCATCTTATTGCCTATTAGAGCCACACATATAGGTTCTCTCTAATGTATTCATTCCGAATTCTATCCCTTGTTATATATTACTTATATGGATCAAATTTGGTACCCCAAGCAAAAAATAAATAAACATACATAGCTGGGTTTTATTAATTTTTTATGTTTCAGTTTCACAAGGATCATCAAAAAATCCAGAGAAAAAAATAATTAAGTTTTGCAAATATCACTTTGGCCACCACCCTGTAACCCGCCAAAAAATGCATATTTTCTCCTGATCCTCATAGAAAGAGGGGAAAAGTTGGGTTTTATCCCCATTTATTAGTGAAAAGTAATCAGACAAATATTGACGAACTAAGCGCATTCCTTGGAAAAATATAATCTAGTGCCATGAAAAATCAGACCTCATTTTGAAGTAATTCAGCATATTTCTACGGATCCAAAAACTACTCTTTACAGGAAAAATTCATCAGCAATTTGCAGGAGTAAAGCTCATTTTATTGGAAGTCTAAGTCCATTTAGTGGACAGTTTAAGCTTCTCCCATGAAAATCGGAGCTCATTCCAGATCAATTAAAATTCATAAATGCTGAACAATCAACCAGAAAAAGTAAAAATGGTGAATAAATACGATTAAAATGCAAATTATGTTAATTTCGTGAAAAATATAAGCCCATGCGATGGACAATTTAACCTTATTACATGAAAAATCAGAACTCATCCTAGGTCAATTACAGTGTATAATCAACCAGAAGAAAAAATAATACATGGTGAAAATAAATGGATCATAATGAAGATAACTCCATGGAAAATCCAAGCCATTCCACAGAAATTTTATTCCACCGAAAACTATAACTTACTCCAGATCAGTTGAAGAAAAAATAATACATGGTGCAAATAAATGGATCATAATGAAAAAAATGGCACAGAAAATCCAAGCCATACGACAGAAATTTCAATCATATCCCACGAAAAACTAGAACTTACTCCAGATCAGTTGGAGTTCATAAATGCTCAATAATCAACCGAAAAAACAAAAAAAATAGAATAGCAAAATATATTAAAATGCAAATTACCTGAAGCTATAAGGGCTAGGACCATCAAAGAACCTCGATCCCTAAATGGCAGTTCCATTGATCAGAGAGAGAAACAAAAACAAAACCAGAAAATCCCGTAAGGGCGTAGGCGTTTATAGGCCTGAGAGAGAGAGAGAGAGAGAGAGAGAAAATATTAGTGTAGAGTTAGAGAGAGAAAAGGCCAACCAAAAAATCCCTTAAAAATGCGTCTTAGGGGATCTAATTTCAGGACAAATCAGCTCCAAGGGATTTTTACACGTGGATCGGGGTCGTGTTTCAACCAATAACATATTGCCACGTCGCGAAGGGAGTCAGATTTTGGCGAGGCCCAATGAGAGTTCAGACACCAGCACTGATGAGCCAATCAGAGGCGAGATCTCCGTGGGGCGATATCGACCCTCCATTGATGAGATCGTGAAATCTGACGGTTCCACCACAAGCATAAGTTCCGCGTGCGGCATATACTGTGTTCTCGCCAGACCATGATATATGTTTAGTCCTACTCTAGAGAATTTTTTAATTTAAAATTTTGTAACCATCTAAAAATAACTAGATAATTATTTTTAATTTATTTATTTTTAAGTGACTCGATTTGTGTGTGTCATGGGCAATGCTAATCTTCTTTATAATGTTCCAATTTTATAGGATGTCTCAAAAGTTTTCAATTATTTTCACAACAAAAAAATTGAGTTTTAAATTTTTTATAATTATTTTCAAAATTTCAAGTTTTTTATACTTGGATCTCACCTTTAAAATTGGGATAGTATCTATTCAATTTGAGACATTATTTTTAGAGAGAGTGCAAGGAAAATATTTTTTATTGAGACTAGTCTATGCATGGAAGACAATGGGTTCCCAAAATTTCGAGTAAGAAAATTGCTCCTATATTAGGTCTCATTTGATGGAGAAAATTGCTCCAAGATTAGGTCTTATTTGATGGACGAAATGTATACTCTTGCAGGAGCATAAAACTTTGGGCAAGCTTTGTATGCTTGCCCTATAACATAAAACTTAGAGGGTGCCGTTTGAATAGAGCCTAGGCTTTCAATTAGAGCCTACCTTCAAATAGTATCGTGGAATGTGGTTTCAATACTGAAATTTTTTTTGATAATCTTCAAATATATTTTAATATTTATTTATAAAATTTAAAGCTTTAAAAAATAGTGTATAACGAGAGATCTATGAAAGTTTTTAAAATTGACGGTCTAAATATGTATTACAAAATACACTATTTCCAAAACTTGAAATTTATTTTTTTCTCTTGTCCATGCATCTTGATATCTGGATGATCAATTTGATGATATTTAGGCGTCAAAACAACCTATTCTAGTGAAAGTTTTGAGGTAGGCTCGAATTTTATTGTTTAGAGCCTCGGCTCTACATAAACTTTTTCCAAACATATATACTTCCCCTTATCCAACCATCCATTCTCAATGGAGGGCTAAGATTGCCCCAATTACAATCTCACTTCTCTACACTATTTTATTTTAAATTTGTTTTCTATTAACTATTTTGACACCAAATTTTGTATGTCCAATCCTCTATTAAACTCGCACTAGCGAAAAATATAAAAAAAATATTTTCAATAAAATAAAAGGATCAAAAGACCCTTAAAGGTTTCAAGAGGTATTTTGGTCATTATATTTTATAGAAAAATTATTTTTAATATTTTTTTATAGGTGCGCCCTAATGAGAAGATGACACGTACCAAATTTCATAATCATACAATTTGTATAAAAAAATAAAATACTTTGAGACGTCGGATCTAAGATCAAACGGTGAATGACTCTCTTGATCAAAATTGGACGATTGGATGGTAGGGGAAGCATCGATCTTCTATGTTGTAGGGGAAGTATAGAAACATTTCCCTAAAAAGGCTGCTTGGTGCAAGAAAAATAAGCGCCCCCAACCCCCCCCCACCCCCCTCCTCTAATTTCCAGAATGTCTTGTTCACTTGACCGTCCATTTAGTTACTTATTTGCAAGATCATATCCACAAGATCTATATCATTTTTTGAGCTTAAGTAGAATGTGAAAATTAATTTTAAAGCCATAATGTAGAATGTGAAAATTGATTTTAAAGCCATTATGGAAATTTCCAACGCTCAAAGTGCTTTTCGAACCAACATTCAAGGGGAGGCTTTACTTTGTTTTTATAAAGCCTGGGCTTTATAGAAACTGCATCCTTTAAGCTCCTATCTATGGTACAAGCAGTTCCCTTCTAGCCTAGGTCATTTTACAGTGAATCGACCGTCCGAGTCACCATTTCACATTAGATAATTATCGTTTTACTATACGGAACCGTTGGTTCCCTTCTAGACTAGGCCATTTTTCAATAGGGAAAGGTTTCTATACGTCCCCTACAACATAGAAGATCTATGCTTCCCCTACCATCTAGTCGTCATCCAATTTTGATCAAGAGAGCCACTCACCGTTTGATCTTAGATCCGACATCTCAAAGTATTATATTTTTAATTTTTTTTATAAAATTTTTATGGATATGAAATTTGGTACATGCCATCTTCTCATTGAGGTGCACCTATAAAAAATATTAAAAATAATTTTTTAATAAAATATAATAACCAAAATACCCCTTGAAATTTTCAAGGGTACTTTAATCATTCTATTTTATTGAAAATATTTGTTTATATATTTTTCGCTAGTACGAGTTTAATAGAGGATTGGATATACAAATTTTGGTATCAAAATAGTTTATAGAAAAAACCATTAAAAATATGACAATGTGATTAGGGCAATCTTAGCCTTCCATAGAATGGAGGGTTGGATAAAAAGAAGTGTGTTTTATACTGTAAGTAAATCATAGAAAGCTTGCATTTTCAATATATACACATAACTGCTGGTTCCCTTCTAGACTAGGCCATTTTTCAATATATAGGAAAAACTAAAACAAGTTGACTAATTCTGGAGTTGAACTGCGCAATTCCACGACCGGCATTTTTTAAAAGAAAAAGTTTATATAAAGATGCAACCTTATAATGTAGAACTACAGATGCACCTCAAAAATCTATCTGAAAAGGTATTTTTAATGTTGATTGATCATCTCGACATCGAGATGTATGACCATAAAAAACAAAAAGATGTTTAAGTCTAAAAAATAGTGCATTTTACAACATATCATTTGCACCATCCATTTTCAACATTTTCATATGTTCATAAATCTACTTGATTTTAACCATTTTTTATATTTAAAATTTTATAATTAGATATAAAAATAGATTTTGAGATAATTCTAAAGGCATTTTACATCAAATTTATATACCATGATAAAATTTGAAGGTGCACCTTACTTCTACCGGATGCCTCCGTATGCCAACTTCACCCTTTTTTTTAAATCACTGGTTCTTAAACTGGGGGCTAGCTAATAATTGTGCTCTTCTCTCTCTCTCTCTCTCTCTCTCTGAAAAGATGAGCCGAAGAGGTTGGTTCTTAGTCTTGCGGCCTAGCTAATGACTCTGTGCTCTTGCGAAACGCTCTGATTCATTGAATAATTTGTGAGGCCGCAACACAAATGCCCTGACCGTATAATTAAGCCCATTGTGGCTAATGAAGAGAGAGAGAGAGAGCTCTTATACATTGAATGATTTGTCAGGTAGTAAGGCATATGTATACTGATTCTGCAATGGAAGGATACCTTGCAATCTGGGATCCATGAGTGATGAACTTAGAAAGAGAGAGAGAGTTCATGAGTCTAAGAGAGAGAATTCTTTCATTCACATAGTAATTTGTGAAATGGTAAGGCGCATATATATACTGATTATACAACAGAGTCGTATTTTCCCATGTGGGAACCAAGAATTGAGGGATTTACACTTAAACAAAACTGGGAAGTTTATCAAACTACAATTATCAATATATAACATTTTACCGATTTTCAACTCAAGATCATTCGTGCTTTAAACTTTGTAAAATTAAATTAAAAAAATATGGGTCAAATGTTAAATAGGTCATCTCTTAAATATATTTCGTTAAATTTCCCAAAAAAATTAGAGAGAAAAAGAAATGATGACTCTGAGAAGAGAGTTGAAAGAACGTTATCACAGTTCATCATGAGAGTCATAGTCGTCGTTGTCGTTGTCGTCATCATCATCATCAAAGACAGTGCTATAAAATGCGTGAGGATGCGCCACCATCTCCTCTATCGATAATTTCCCATCCTTGTCATCATCGGCCTATAAAAGATTCAAAAAAAAATTTATCAGTGCTAAACTAAACTCGCAGTGTATATATGACAGAGATGGTTCTTCGATCCAGTGGTCTATTTCTAAGTTTGTCGAAAAGTACGTAATCTTCACCTTTAGTACAAAAATGCCACGATCACCGCTAAGCCTTTATTTTATTTTTTAACTTGGGACCTGGTGAAAGTAGAATTCCAGATGTCACATTGTGACACCCGCTGCTATCCTGACTACCTCTACCTAGAAGCCCACTCTCATGATCATCACTAATCATCAGATGTGAAATTGGGCAACAAGGTATGTTCTACTAACTGCACTCAAAAAGCCTGAGAAAGTTTTTTCGGAATTCTTGCAGAGACTAGACAATTTTAGATCTGACAACTTGGGGCGTCCATGACCTTTTCGTACAAAGGGTAATCATCATTATCATTATAGCTTTTTCCTAATTAATTGGTGTTAGCTACAAAGGATAATAATCTAACTATATACAATTTCTTAAACTATAATCTTTCACCTATGAATTTGAAACCAATAGTATAAAAGTGAGAGATTTATGAGAGAGAGACGAGATCTAAATGCCTAAAAAGATTCAAAAGAGAAAAGAGAGCTAGTTTTTTCTCAAAATTAGTTCTAGCCTCAACATGAGAAAAAAGGTGGAGAGAGAGATAGAGAGAGAGAGAGAGAGAGAGGTAGGTTGTAA